TTGAATTTTCTCACTGTATTTACAGGTGTATTTGCACTCATATTAAGAGCTTCATTAAATATGATATCTTGTACAATCTCAAGATAACATGCAACAGGATTTCACATATAATATTAATATAATTCTTGATATTCAATCAGCTGTCATTCCCTGTCATTAGTTCTATTCATGAGCTTATTCAACACTTTCAAATCCTTCTTATAGATCTTGCACCCTCATCTTCATATTCAATGAACAGAAGATTGCACCTCAGTTCATGCTTTAAAAGATATAAGTAATGTTTCTTTCTTACATTTAAATATCTTTGTTGATGTTAAGAATGTGTTAATCATCATAATTATAACTTATATTACTTTATCTCAAAGTTCTCTTTCTAATTCACTATTAAATAGTAGGCTTCACATCTTTTCTACAACTATTTAATTCATACATTCTACTGAGTCATTTGATTGTAATATATCAGATGTAGTCATTTCATATGCTATTTCTTTGCTCTGACAGTAGATCTTAAGTTCTTGACTTTTGAACTCTTCTTCATTATCTCAGTGTAGAATTTCAACTCAATATTATATAGTTATCTTAATATCTGTGATGAAATTCATTAATCTTGTAATAGATTCTTTCTTTCTTATTATAAGAATTGCTCATCTATAACAGATTATATTATCTATTATACTCAATCAGTAGCTTGCACTTCTTCTAGTAAGAGTGTTATTTCTGTCAAAAAGTGTTTTTCCACTCTCTGTCAGATTGATGAAGAATCTCATTACTGACTTAACAGCTCATGTTATAGATATAAAGATTGAATATGTCATTTTTATCTGTACACAGGTCTTGCAGAATGACAAAGCTCTGTCATTCTTTATTCTCATTTCTAGTTATGAATCTGCTGTCATTTTTATGATATCTGTGAGATTCAGATGTTCTAGCTTTTAATATTATTATATCATTGTAAGTTCTATAATCTTTGTATTATTTCTTTCAGATAGTGTCAATATTGTGTTATCTTTCATCTGTAACATATTCACAGGTTCAAAATCACTATTAAGTATAATAAATCAGATTAAGTCTCTGTATATAATCAGTCTTTTCATCTCATAGATATCATTCTCATTTAATCTTACTGTAAATGAGAATATGCAGTCAGAAGATATAATCAATATAGTATAATTATTTTCATATATCAACTACTTATAGATATAACTCTGATGTATAAGCTTACTTATACTTATAAGATTCACTTCTAACTTCAGAATATAGTGAACATCATTTAATAGTATATTCACTTCTTTCACTGAAATCTTTATATCTTCTATAACTGCAGCAGAAATCACTGTTCTGTCTATTATTTTTAACATTACTTTCATCTTCTGAGATTTTGTCATGATAAGATCTCTGTGAGATGTGATATAAGTATCTGATTCAGAGTCTAGAATTCAGATATCTTTTTCTATCTGATCACTTGTATAGATCTTTTCTTTGATGCAAAATACTTACTTTATAATATTGTGAATAGAAGCAGTATCTGTATTCTCTGCATTCTTGTCTTTATTCTTATTTCTATTCATATTGAAGTTTGAAGAATGTTTTTCAGAGTATTTCTTTCAACAGTCAGTCTGAATATAATCAATCTTTTGACAATGAAAGTAGATTCTCACATCATTATCTCTATATTCAGATTTGAATTCAGTGTTCTTATTCTTAGCATTGTCTTTGTCCTTGTCTTTCTTATTCTTGTCTTGAGTGTTATTCATGGGATTTTTCATGAATTCAGTACTACTATTTTCTGCAGTAGAAAGGCATAGAAGTATATTACAGTATAATCTTATAAAGTCTTCTTCTAAAGATCTCAAATTGTTCTTATCAATCTAATTCATTCTATTCTTTATGAAGAATGCTCAATCTCTATTAACTTCTATCAGTAATCTATTAAAAAATACAACATCTTCAATCTTATATCTCAGATAGATATAATCAGTTCTGATAATAATTAATTATTTAATAAAAGCTCTGTCAGATTCTTTACTTTTAAAGATTATTTTAATAAGCTCTTTAAATAAATGAGTTTTGCATACAGCAGGTCTCTTAGAAAAGTTATTCTTTATAATAGTTTATAGAGTATAAGCTGATAATTTGAACTTCTTAAGTATAGTGAAATGAGTCTTAATCTGTGAAGCAATTACAGACTATATATAATTATATAATTAAAGATTGTGTTCTTTTCAGAAATATTGTATATTCATAATAACATTCTTATTAAGATTATTATCTTTAAGAATATCATTGATTTCAGACTATTCTACAGTTAAAAGAATTTTCTCTCTTCACATTGAGTAGTTAATAAATTCAGTGAGAACTATTAATCTTTTGATAAGTCTTACTTAGCTTCTGAATTCTTCAAGAACTTTTATTATAACAGATGTCTTTTCTTTTCATTGAAGATATTCTATCAGATCTGCTCTTATCTCATCATCTGCAGAGTTACTTCTACTGATCTTCATCTACTCAACCTTATACTGAAGTCTTGCAATTTCAAGTCTTATACAAGTCTTCTCACTCACTGAGCTATTGTCATTTCAGTCACTTAAGCTCTCTGCATTGTCTGACATCTCACTGATACCTTCAATCAGATCTTTATATATATTGAACTCATCAGACTGTTCTTCTATAATGATTTTATTCAGCTCAAACATCTCTGAAGCTGTCTTCTGATTCATTATTGATATTAACAGTGATCTGTAATCTTGTATTTACTACTCTGATGTTTTCTTGTTTCTTTGTCTTGAAGATATGTATTCTCTTGTTAAGTCGGACATCTCTCTGAATCTTAGATTAATCATGGGTTCAATTAATCAATAAAAAACATCTAGGCACATGTAATGATATGTGAAGACATAGTTAGCATGTTATTGTGATTATTTGTTGCTTGTGAAAGAACTTCATAATCTCTTGAAGAATAATGTTGTTATGTTGTAATCTAACTACGCGAGTTACACTAAATGAATAGGTTGAGGTGGCATGTGACTAGAGTAGGTGTAGTAATCATCAACACAGAGCTACATCACGTGAAACTAAATTAATGAGACGCAGAAGCACAAGTGCAGAAGTACACTTTTGAATGGAAAGAGGTAACAGTATTTGAACAAGATTTGTGACCTATTCATAAAAACAGGTTGAGACTTCATTGTAAAATGATTTGGCCTATTCACATTCTGTTATTCTCAATTTGACCCTGACTGTGAATAAGCAGAAGATGTACACTTTTGAATGAAAGAGGTCATGGTATTCGGGCAATATTTGTGGCCTATTAGTTACTGTATAAAGCACTTCTATGACAGGTGGTGACTCCACTATAAAATAATGTATCTCATAGATGATGTTGGGTTTTCAATAATATCACACAGTTAATAGAGTTAGATCTTTCCTACACATCAAAATCTTCTTAAACAAAAATGAACTTGTCTAAATTATCCGGATGAGCACTTACGTAATGTAGAGAGGAGGAATCTAACAAATAAATATCAAGTGACAGTAAATGTTGAAGCTACTACACAAGCCCTAACTCATGTGACTCACATACATATATTTAGCTTTCACTAGCTACTAGTTAGATAACAACAATCAATTATGTTCAATCTCTCTCACAGGTTATGAAACACTTGCACTTCTATAAAGCATTATAATCATGTAATAATCATATAATAAGCTTTTCAAATAGCTGCTTCTTTCATTCAAATACCTCATATCAAATGCCTGTTAATACAAGATCAATCAATCATGAAGAAATCTCAGAGAATCAAACTACTGCATCTGAATCCTTTCTAATCTCAATAACTGTGAGAAAATCATCACATAATAACAATAATCAAGATAACAACAATATGACTGATGAAGCTGCTGTCTTGAGATGATATATTACTCAGATAAATGAAGAACTACATTAGATAAGAGCTTCTAGCAATTCTACTGCTATAGTTACTATTAATAATGACAATGATCTAAGCTCTGATCTTACTGCTTATCTTCAGAATCAAGAGAATATCTCTACACTGAGCAGAGTTCTTCAAGAATTCCACAAATATGTTAAATATCTTTAAAAACCAGGTCTTCTCAAATCAACATCTGATTACTTCATTTGAAAGAAAGAGATTCTGCTTATTGTTAAGTAATCTCATATAGAAGATATTCTTACTAGCAAGCTCTTGAAGAATGTCTCTAAGAATATGAAACAATTCTGAGAGAAATGCAACTTCTGACTATATAATTTTATATAGTCTTCTGTTTCTATTAAAGTTAAATCTCTTTTTACTATACTTCAAGATTCTCTGAGTTCTGCTGCTCTATGAAACATCATAGCAGCATTCTTTTCAGAACAGATGAAAATCTGCAGAGCTCTTCTGTTTAAGAAATTCAATGATATCAGTGCAACTGCTATCTATGATGACTTCAATCACTTATTCATAGAATATCTACTTACAATCTGCATTGAGTATATTCACCTTGAATATGCTAATATTTCCAACTTCATATTCTTTGACAAGCTTCTTAACAGTCTTATCAAGAAGTGATTAATCTTTATCAGAGATTGCATGAACTATGCAGCAAAGAATGATAATATCACATTATTAGAAGATGATTTTCTTGATCTCTACAGAGATATACTACTCTGTCTGCTGTTGAATGATAAAAATGCCAGAGATGACACAAAGAATGCCAAAGACATCATCAAGAAGAATAAGAATAATAAGAAGAATAATAAGAAATGCACTCACTGTAAGCAGAATGATCATGAAAAGTCTTACTGCTGATTCACACACTCTGAAAAGTGTTCTGTTGATTAAAAGAATAGAATAAAGAATAATAATGAAAGCTCAGTATCTACATACATCACTGTTGAGTATGTCTACTAAAATGATAATCATGATACTGATAACCATGATACCCGGGCTGTTGAATGCTCATATGATAACTCAGAATAAAGATGATACCTCATGATAATCATGATAACCCACGATAACCAGGCCACCGAGTGTGCCTATATGATAACCATGATAACCCACGATAACCAGGCCACCGAGTGTGCCTATATGATAACCACAATAATCCATGATAACCAGGCCACCGAGTGTGCCTATATGATAACCACAATAACTCACGATAATCAGACCACTGAGTGTGCCTATATGATAACCATGATAACCCATGATAACCAGGCCACTGAGTGTGCCTATATGATAACCACAATAACAATAACAATAAAATGACAAAAATATGAGAAATGAGATCTCACAGTGTTCAGATGACTGGGGGGGTAATACAGATACAGAAAGAACAGATTTGAGTGTTTTTTCTTACATATTTGTGTGTATTTGCATGTATGGAGCTAGTTCTTATGAGAAAACTAGACTCTACTTTGTGTAATTAATTATTATTGCAGATTTGAATGATTTGGGTGCTTTTGGCTGCGTGGGTTAACTGGCCTGTGTAGCATGGGGGGGTGTTGGAGCTACTACACAAGCCCTAACCCACGTGACCCACACACATATATTTAGCTTTCACTAGCTACTAGTTAGATAACAACAACCAACCACGTTCAACCTCTCTCACAGTAAATGCCTCGTAGTACTGTAGCAATATGGGAATGGGGGGGCGAAATGGATCGCGGGGAGAAATGCATAATCCATCGTCGTCGGCCGTCACTGGCGAGGAGATGATTAATTGCAATGACCCCTCGGGAAGGGTACTGGGGCTGCGCCAATGACTCATGTGATGCCTCTGGATGAGACCTTCTAGCGCAGGTAATTTTTATGTTGTTGCAATTGCAACGGTATTAGCAGATAGAAATTTTTAATACATCTTTAAATTAGCTGAACCGTAAAACATATCTAGTAATGAAAAACAATTATATATAAATAGAGCAAATACCGACCAGCGGGCATTGCTGCGAGGATGGAGCAGAGAAATAGTATATAACCGCTTGTTCTAGAGAAGACTTAGGCGTGTCCCACTTACGGCTTTGAGTATGTGGTTTCAAGGAGGCATTGATGCCCCGGTCTGGCGAAGTTCCTAAATACATCTATAAATGTACATGTTGAAGGAGTGTGACTCAAAAAGTGTAAGCTGAAAGGGAATCAGCTGAAGAGAAGGTCAAGCCAAAAAAAGAAGATGTCAGACAGAGTGTCAAAGAACCCAGCAAGGCTTGGCTTGGCTTTGACTCAGCAATCAATATATAGACCTTCAACTCCCCTGTCTCTTTCCATTGTTCATGATTTCAATATTAGATGCAAAGTTGGCCATAAAAATCTCTACCTAGTAGCTCTTGATAATATCAGTGATAATCTGATAACACATTCTACAGATTGCATCAATGAGGGGGAGACATTCTGAACAATACTGATATTCACATAGAAGAGTTCTTCACTCTGATGAGATGATATAACAGATCTGACATTGACATTAATACTTCAGCTCATGAACTTCAGTCTCAAGTCTCTTAATCAGCTCATTTCTTCTAGTGATTTCTGCATGTAGATGCTGTACTTCTTCTTTCAGTACTTCTCTCTTTACATACTCTATCTTGAAAATGTTATGAATTCCCTGATTTGTGATTTTCTATCTCAATATCAGTAAAGAAAAAGGCCTCATTATAAGTTATATAAGAAAGAGTCTTATCAAAACTGCATTCAAGTTGAGAATTTTATATTTTTTCAGTGACTGTCTCATTTCAGAGAGCACTGAATTATTAAATAGAGTCTTATACACTGAATAGCTGTAGTCTGTGTAAGATCTCTTTCTTCACAGCTTTTATACTGAGAGCTGATGTTTATTCATCTCTGCATCTGAACTGATGATGATGATGCTATAAAGCCTGTCACAGAGACTATCAGCTGATGCTATGATTGAAGAATGATTGTGTTCTGAAAATGTAACTCACTAGAAATGACTCATACTGTAAGAAGACTGTAAGTAGAAAAAAAAAGAACTCTGAAGAGCTTTAGTGAGAGGAAAATAGATTCTTTGATTTCACTCAGTTATCTTCAAGTTAATAAGAATCTCTGGGTGAGTTTCACTCTCACAGTGATATAGAATGAGAAGTGAGAAAGAAATTGAAAGAAAGATGAATTCAAGAAAGAAGAGAGATTCTCTATATATATCAGAAAATGAGAAACTGTCACAGAATACTTGTCACACCTCTGACCGCGTCAAGGCCCTGCTGCGGTTTCATACGGCTCATTGCTTTCATGCGGATGATTTCATTCATCTCACAGACTGTCTGAACCAGTTTCCAATCACTCTATGACATTATTCAGATATATTATAGAAAGATCTGATTAATGAATATAAGAATCTCACTTCTATACAAGGTCAGCAGATTACTCTTCCTTGATAATAAGACACTGCTGAGGTATTACTTCAGCTATTCTCACTTATAAAATGAGAGAAGAGTATCTGCTTATTATCTATATAGAATAGCTAGATGCTGACTTCTTATCAAAGAAGTCAGTGATTCATTTTTCTTTCACTGAAATATATACAAGAGTTACTGTATATCTTATATAATCTTCTTAGTATACTAAGTATCATATCTGTGATATTCTTATAATAACTCTATAGTCTATAAGCTCACTATTCAAGTAAGATAATCAAGCTCACTTATATAGCTTCTTAAATAACTATCTCTATATAATATCACTGACTAGTCATCACTTCAGTTTTATTATATTATAATTCAAATCACTCAATCTGATTATAAGTTTGAATCAGTCAAGCTTTAACAGACTGATATAGTCTTATATACTTACACTGAAACTGATTCAATCTCATTCTCTGAGAGAAACACTACATTATCTTCTAGAGTATGTATATCTCTATTTTAACAGAAATCTAAGATTTCTGAAATCACTGTATATTTTAATATAAGTTCTTTAATCACTCTGCTATTATTACAGTCTCTACACATCTACATCTATTATAAAGATAGAGAGATTAAGATCAGAGATTCTCTGAGATATAAGAGAAATATCTTATCTGAATTTCACAGCTTTATCTATACTCTTGAATGAAAATTTCATCTTAATTTAAGTCAGTATAATACTTATAAGATATGAGTAATATATATTATCAACCTTCTTGAAGACATCTCTGCAACTACTTGAGTTATCAAGAAGAGAAAACTTAAGTATATTAATACTATTATAACTTAAGAAGAATTTAAGAACTTTCTACTGAATTAAATCAAAGATCACTGTAATCACAGCTTTATAACAGTATAGTAGTTCAACTTATTATATTAATAAGATAATAAGAATTCTTTCAATTTCAATATAAGATTTGAAGAATATTAAGAGAAATTGACTGATGATTTGAATTAATTAAAAATATAGCTTTATCTTATAAAGCTGACTTATAAGGTGCAGACAATGATATTATAATATCAGAGTTTATTAATTAATTACACTGAGCTTGTTAACCTGACTTTCTGAATCTATTTAAATAATCAATTCTCTGAGAAAAAGATTAATAAGATCTCTTCTAAGTAATCAATGATAGAATCTAAATAGCACTGTAATAGCTTCAGTGTGAATAAAGTAAAGAAGAATTTTAAGTATTCTGATTCTTCACTCACTGTGAAGAAATATTAAAAAAGATTTGATAAAGATCTCTGTTTTAACTGCAGAGCTGATAATCACTATATCAGTGATTATAAGAAGCTGAAGAAGAAAAGAAACTGAGAAGATATCTTCTCAAAGTTAACTTCTCTTCTAATAAACATATTCATAGAAGATAAAGAAGAGAAAGAAATGAAGAATTAATAATTCTTATATCTCTGAGTTTATATTATAATTATAATGTATATCTTAAATAAGAAGATATCAGTGAGATATCTACTTAACTCTGAAGTAGATATTAACTTCATATTCTATTTCTTTTCTTTAATAAAGAGTTAGAAGAAGATAGATCTGTCAGATCATATATAATTTATCAATAAAATAAAATATCACTGTTTTAACATAATTTAAGTAAAGTGTGTGATTATAGACTCAGAAGAAATCTTTAAGAAGAGCAGTTTACTTCTTCATATAGTTAATATTATAGATAAGAATATCATTCTAGATCTCTTATAATTAAGAGAAAACAATTCTCTTATTGACTGAGTTACTTAGATATAACAGTATTATCTCATTAATGAAGAGACAGTAATAGAGAAATCTGAAGAGTTTTATCAGAAGAATCTTGAGAAAAAGATAGAGTTAATATACTATATAGTAGATGATTGAGACTTGAGAATAGATGAAGAAATCATCATTCTTATTACAAGATTAGCAGCAGTATTTATCATTGAAGATAAATGTATATAATGTCTCTTTACAGATTATAATAATATCTTTTCAGAAAGAGAAGCAGTGAAGTTTTCTAATATCAAGATATAATATAAGATTTATCTTGAAGACAGTGTAACAGCACTGTACAGATCTCTCTATAACTTGTCTGTAAAGAAATTGAATATTCTGCATAAATATCTTAAAGAAGTATAATTAAAGAACTGAATATATTTATTAAAGAGTTTAACAGAGACATCTATACTCTTTATACTCAAGAAGAATGATAGACTATACTTATACATAGACTATAGAGATCTTAATAAAATAACAGTTAAGAATTGCTATTCATTACTATTGATTAATAAGATAATTAATCAATTATCTGAAGCAAAGATGTTCTCAAAGATTAATATACAGAATGTCTATCATAGAATCAGAGTTAATGAAGATAATATTTGAAAAACAGCTTTTTATACTAAGTACAGTAATTTTAAATATCTTGTTTTATCTTTTGATCTTTGTAATACTTCAGTCATCTTTCAGACTTATATAAATGAGATGCTGTAGAATCTTGTTAATATCTTCTATATAGTATATCTGAACAATATTCTAATCTTCTCAAAAACAGAGAAAGAATATGATATTCATGTTCAAGAAGTATTAAGTCAGTTGAGACAGTATTAACTCTATACAAATACTGAAAAATGCTCATTCTATATACAGGAGATTGATTTCTTAGATTATATTATTAAGATGAACAGCATTTCAATGAATAGAAGCTGAGTCTTTATCATTGAGAACTAATCAGTACTGCAGATGTATCACAAGATGCAGATATTTCTAAAATTTATAAATTTCTACAGATAATTCATCTATATATATTCACAGATTACTGTCTCTCTTACAGATCTGTTAAAGAGAAGTGTGAAAGACAGAAAAAT